TGTCGTCCGAGAGAAACTCCTCCTTGCACTGAAGCACCAGGCGCTTCTGCTCTTCCAACTCTGCAAGCCACTTCGTGAGCTTCGCGAACTCGTGCTCAAACTTCCTCTCAGGCTTCTTGACGTCGGCCGCCAGCTGCTGCGAACTCTGATGCAAGGGCACCTCCTGGGCCTTGGGCGTGCCCAGAGACTTGGCGAGCTGGTCGTAGTACTTGGCGGCGGCGTGGTCCCAAGCCTTGATCGACAGCTGCGAGAGCGTGTGGGCCTCCTGCTCGGAGATAGCAGGCCCTGGACCTGCGGGATGGGCGGTGCGCTGCTGGCTCGAAGTTGGAGAAGAAGAGGGCTGCGGGGCATCGTGCTTGCCGTTGCCTCCTCAGTTGTCTCAGTTCCCTTTGGCCACATCCAGCTGCATTGACCTAACTCATTGTGGCGAATGGGGAACAGCGGGCTGGACATCGACGAGGGGCGACTTGCAATGCTTGCACCAAAATGTAGTGCAGAGGTTTTTCCGGCACGCACAGCGAGCACATGGCACAGGTGAAAGCTTACCTCCTCGGCCTCGTCCTTTGGTTGACCATCCCCCTCCGTCCTGACGGCGATCCTCAAGCGGAACCCAAGGCTGGCGAGAGAAAGAAGGAGAAGGGACCATCGAACTGAATGAATGTGCCTGGCAGGCGAACGCAAGGGAACTGGTCTGGTGAGCGAACACCAGAAAACTGCGGGGGCCGCAATCCCCATCACCACGGCGCAAATCCTCGAGCAATGCCTCCGGACATAAGCCAACATGCCTACGGAGTTCCTCCTCCTCCTCCCCCGCCTCCTCCTCCTCTTCCTCCTCCTCCTCCTCCTGCTCCTCCTCCTCCTCCTTCATTTCCTCCTCCTCCTCCTCCTCCTCTTCTTCCTCCGCCCTCCTCCTCCTCCTCCTCCGCCTCCTCCTCCTCCTCCTCGTCCTCCTCCTCCTCCGCCTCCTCCTCCTCTTCCGCCTCCGCATCCGCCTCCGCCTCCTCCTCCTCCTCCTCCTCCTCCTCCTCCTCCTCCTCCTCCTCCTCCGCCTTCGCCTCCGCCTCCGCCTCCGCCTCCGCCTCCGCCTCCTCCTCCGCCTCCTCCTCCTCTTCCTCCTCCTCCTCCTCCTCCTCCTCCTCCCTCCTCCTCCTCCTCCTCCTCCTCCTCCGCCTCCGCATCCGCCTCCTCCTCCTCCTCCTCCTCCTCCTCCTCCTCTCCTCCCTCCTCCCTCCTCCTCCTCCTCCCTCCTCTCTCCCTCCTCCTCCTCCTCCTCCTCCTCCTCCTCCTCCTCCTCCTCCTCCTCCTCCTCCTCCTCCCCCCTGCTCCCCCCGCTCTCCCTCCCCCTCCCCCTCCCCCTCCTCCTCCTCCTCCTCCTCCTCCTCCTCCTCCTCCTCCTCCTCCTCCTCCTCGTCCTCGTCATCGTCCTCCTCCTCCTCCTCCTCCTCGAGAATGGGGGATTGTGGAGTACCTCCTCCTCGAGAACGGAGGGTGTTTTCCCGTTTCTCCATCCCCTGTTCCTCCTACTCCTCCTCTTGATTATCCTCCTCTTCCTCCTTCTCATCAACATCCTCCTCCTCCTCCTCCTCCTCCTCCTCCGCCTCCTCCTCCTCCTCCTCCTCCTCATCCTCATTCTCATCCTCATCCTTATCAGTATCCTCCTCCTCCTCTTCCTCCTCCTTTCTTCAGAATCGTTGTTTTAAATTTTCTGATTTTCCTGACCCCCTCCCCCCAAAAAAACACCGAGCGATCTCGAGTTTTGTTTTGGGGGGAGTCGAACGCCTCCTTATTTCTCTCTCACCCACCCTCGTCCTCTTCCTCTCCTCCAGAATCGGGTTTTTCATCATCCTGCCCCCCCCAAAAAAAATCGAGGTCGCTCCGCTTTTGTTAGGGGTTAGGAGAACCAGAGCAAACCACAAAAATTCGCCCGCCCAACGGGCCAGAGGCGTGCTAAGATCTCCAGTAACTGGTTAACAATAACTCTATATACTTCGCGCGCGCGGAGCGGCCCCTGGGGGTCCCCGGCCGGAAAGTACCCCGGCAAGGTCCCGGGACACTCCCGGCAAACTCAGGTCAGAGATGGTTTTCCTCCTGGGTGCGGCCTTCCACGCTCCCCGGAGCGCGCCAAGAGGGCCCCAACAGGCTTCCAAGACGGTCCAAGAGGGTTCCGAATCACCGAACGATCGGCCCAAGACGCCCGACACGGCCTCAAGACGGCCCAAGAAGCTCCCAAGACGTCCCAAGAGAGCCCCGACCCTTTCCAAGAGAGCCCCAAGAGGTCAAAATCATTGATTTCCCTTGGGTGTTTCAAGGTTCTTGGTTTCCTCGCCTTTTCGCGTTTCCGACGCTCCAAGACGGCCCAAGCAGCCTCCAAGACCACCCCAAGACGGCCCAAGAGGCCTCCAAGAGAGCCCCAAGACCGGCCAAGAGGCCCCACGACAGCCCAAGAGGCGCCCAAGACGGTCCAAAAGGACCCCAAGAGGGCCCCGAGAGGGGCCCAACATGGAGACCACGAACCGAGAATCCGAGCCTGCCGCTCCAAGAGGCCTCCTGGAGGCTCCAAGAGGCCCCCAAGAGGCCCCCAAAGGCGACAAGGGGCCCGAAAGAGACCCCAAGAGGCTCGACAACGACTCCCGAGTCTCCAAGAAGCCAACGAGAGGCATCCAACGAGATCCCAATGAACGTCCACGAAGCCTCTGAGCGCCAAAACCATTGATTTCCATTGAGTTGTTCAAGGTTCTTGGCTCCCTCGCCTTTTCGCCTTTTCCGACGCTCGTTGAAACGGCCCAAGAAGCTTCCAAGACCACCCCAACAAGATTCCTCCTGGAACCTATAACAAGGGATCCCCCCCTGTGGCAGTGCATTGGCATTGGATTGGGATCGCCTTGGCATTGGATTGGCATTCGATGGCAGTGCGTTCGCATTGCGATGGCAATGCGCTGGCGAGTCCGAGTGGGTCCCTCCGCAGAAGAACTCCTTCTGGAGCCCCACCAAAAAGGATTCCTAGTGAAACCCTCCACAGGAGGATGCCAATCGAAACCCTGCACAGAGGCATTCCTATTGAACTTCTCCGAAGAAGGATTCGTAATGACACCGTCCACAAAGGATTCTGATGGAAATCCACCGAGCAAAAGGATTCCCCCATTCAATTTGAATTGGGCACTGCTTTGGCATTGCGCAGTGCGCTGGGATTGCGCCAGCGAGTCCTTGTGCCTCCCTTCGCTCAACGATTCCCATTGGGACCCTCCAGAAATAGGATCCCTTGCACCATGTACCACAAAGGCCCCCCTTCATTGGCATTGCGTTGGCATTGGATTGGGATCGCCTTGGCATTGGCTTGGCATTGCGATGGCACTGCTTCGGCATTGCGTTGGCATTGCGCTGGCGAGACTATGTTTCCCTCCGCAGAAGGACTCCTACTGAAGCCCCCACAAGGAGGATTCCTGGTGAAACCCTCCACAGGAGGATGCCAACCGAAACCCTGCACAAAGGCATTCCCATTGAAATCCTCCGAAGAAGGATTCGTAATGACACCGTCCACAAAGAAATCTGATTGAAATCCACCGAGCGAAAGGATTCCCCAATTCACATTGCAGTGGCATTGGTATTGGTTGGCAATGGACTGGTATCGCATCGGCATGCACTGGCCTGGTACAGGGGATACAGAGAGAGAGAGAACAAAAGAAGAGAGAGACAGAAAGAGAGAGAGAGAGAGAAAGCACGAGAGAACGATATGTCGAGAGAAGCATATGATGAGGGGATCACGGCGAACAGAAAAATCGTAAACCAACATCAAATGAATAAAGATGAAGGTCCATTCCATTCGAAATATATATATATATATATAAACGACGAGGTACTCCACAATCCCCCGGCCTCGAGAACCTCCTCCTCCTCCTCCTTCTCCGTCTCCGTCTCCGTCTCCGTATCCGTCTTCCTCCTCCTCTTCCTCCTCCTCCTCATCCTCCTCCTCCTCCGCCTCCGCCTCCGCCTCTGTCTCCGCCTCCTCATCGTCCTCCTGATCCTCTTCCTCCTCCTCCTCCTCCTCTTCCTCCTCCTCCCACTTCTCCTCTTCATCCTCCCCCTCCTCCTCCCCCTCCTCCTCCTCCTCCTCCTCCTCCTCCTCCTCTCCTCCTCATCATCATCATCATCATCATCATCATCATCATCATCATCAGCATCATCATCATCATCATCATCATCATCATCATCATCATCACCACCACCACCACCCACCACCACCATCATCATCATCATCATCATCATCATCATCATCATCATCATCATCATCAGCTCTCATCATCATCATCACCATCATCATCATCATCATCATCATCATCCCCCCTCCCCCTCCTCCTCCTCCTCCTCCTCATCATCATCATCATCATCATCACCATCATCATCATCATCATCATCATCATCATCATCATCATCATCATCATCATCATCATCATCATCATCATCCTTGTCCTTCTCCTCATCACTCTCTTCTTAGTATGATTCGTTTATTCGTATGAATCGTAGCCTGAATATTCGTAATACTTGTATCAGTAGTATGAGTGTTCTCACTGCTCGTATTATTAATAGTATTATGTTCAGTAGTAGTAGTAGTAGGAGGAGGAGGAGGATATATAGTAGTGGTCTTCTTATCAGTAATATTACTCGTCGTACTATTAGTAGTATGTGTTATGGATTCAAGTCGTAGTTATATCATGTCTTGTCTTTTTGCTATTACTATTACCCTCCGTATTATGATTATTCGTGATATTATTAGTGGTAGATTTCGGTTTCCTATTACCATTCACATTATGATTATATGTATTGTTTTTCCTCCTCCTCCTCCTCCTCCTCCTTCTCCTCCTCCTCCTCGTCTCCGCCCCCGTCTCCTCCTCCTCCTCCTCGTCCTCGTCCTCGTCCTCCTCCTCCTCCTCCCCCCCTCCTCCTCCTCCTCCTCCTCCCCTAGCACGCGGACGACGACGACGACGACGAAGAGGACGACGAGCCTCGGCGGACAGGAGCGGGCATCGCCGCGAGGTCCATGTCCTGCGCGCGCGGCGCTGGTCTGTGAGGAGGAGTAGGAAGAGGAGGAGGAGGAGGAGGAGGATTTAGGAGGAGGAGGGTTTAGGAGGAGGAGGAAGAGGAGGAGGAGGAGGAGGAGGGTTTAACCGATCCCCAGACATGATCGCGTCGTTTAAAAAAAATAGCCTGGCGAAGGACCCAACCATATGCAGTTGAGAGTACCGCAATTGTGAATATCTTCTTCGGTGGCGCTCCCTATGGGGCCACGAGCCGTATGAGGGGTGTGCCGACATGCGTGGCAGTGTACACAACACGAACGAAGACGATAGGTCCGAATATGAAAGCTTGAGCGCGTGCGAGTCGGATCGCGAGCGAGTCTGATTATGAATGAATCTGCGCGCGATTGATTCTATTCGCATGAATGCGTGCATGGATACGCCCAGTGTAAATGTATGTATACGACTGTGAACAGTTTGGGTCTGCGTGACTCTCGGTACTCGTGACTCTGAGCGTCGCCTCTGCAGGGGGCTTCCCTGGGAACCCCGACGGCAGCGCCCGCGCGCCGCGACGCCCATGTCGGCACGCCACACACCTGGTGTGCGGGACGCATGCGGACGGCAGCACTGGGGCCTTCGGTGGAGCTCCCTGTGGGGCCACGAAACGTGTGAGGGGTGTGCCGAAATGGGTGTGCGGGACGCATGCGGACGGCAGCCATGGGGCCTTCGGTGGAGCTCCCTATGGGGCCACGAAACGTGTGAGGGGTGTGCCGAAATGGGTGTGCGGGACGCATGCGGACGGCAGCACTGGGGCCTTCGGTGGAGCTCCCTGTGGGGCCACGAAACGTGTGAGGGGTGTGCCGAAATGGGTGTGCGGGACGCATGCGGACGGCAGCCATGGGGCCTTCGGTGGAGCTCCCTATGGGGCCACGAAACGTGTGAGGGGTGTGCCGAAATGGGTGTGCGGGACGCATGCGGACGGCAGCACTGGGGCCTTCGGTGGAGCTCCCTATGGGGCCACGAAACGTGTGAGGGGTGTGCCGAAATGGGTGTGCGGGACGCATGCGGACGGCAGCACTGGGGCCTTCGGTGGAGCTCCCTGTGGGGCCACGAAACGTGTGAGGGGTGTGCCGAAATGGGTGTGCGGGACGCATGCGGACGGCAGCCATGGGGCCTTCGGTGGAGCTCCCTATGGGGCCACGAAACGTGTGAGGGGTGTGCCGAAATGGGTGTGCGGGACGCATGCGGACGGCAGCACTGGGGCCTTCGGTGGAGCTCCCTGTGGGGCCACGAAACGTGTGAGGGGTGTGCCGAAATGGGTGTGCGGGACGCATGCGGACGGCAGCAGCTGGGGGCCTGTCCGAAATGGGTGCATGCTTGGGGCCTTCGGTGGAGCTCCCTATGGGGCCACGAAACGTGTGAGGGGTGTGCCGAAATGGGTGTGCGGGACGCATGCGGACGGCAGCCATGGGGCCTTCGGTGGAGCTCCCTATGGGGCCACGAAACGTGTGAGGGGTGTGCCGAAATGGGTGTGCGGGACGCATGCGGACGGCAGCACTGGGGCCTTCGGTGGAGCTCCCTGTGGGGCCACGAAACGTGTGAGGGGTGTGCCGAAATGGGTGTGCGGGACGCATGCGGACGGCAGCCATGGGGCCTTCGGTGGAGCTCCTATGGGGCTACGAAACGTTGTACTGGGTGGGTGAAACGCAGGGAAGAGGGGGAGGAGGGAGGCGGAGGAGGAGGAAGGAGGAAGGAGACGCGGGGCACCGTCTCTTCAAAACGAAGACCTAACACCACAGGATGGCTTGGAAATAAGGACAGACAGATTCTTCGCCATTTTCAGCCTCAAAAAGCCCACGCCCGGCCCTGGGACCGTCAAAAAACGACTCGGGATGACAAACCGGCCCTGGGGAAGGGGTCGGGACTTCCGGGGACCGCGTATTGAAACAATCAGGAACGTCGCATATCTGGATCCCAAATCGAGAGGGAGAAGGACTATGAGTAGGAGTAGGAGGAGGAGGAGGAGGAGGAGGAGGAGGAGGAGGAGGGAGAGCAGAAGGAGGAGGAGAAAGCGAAGGCGGTGGCGGAGTGATCAAGAAGGGAGGATGAAGACAAATGCGCTCAAAACCAGGGCGCCGACCCCTCTCAGGGTCGAAACTGATCAGTTTTCCGAGTCGCGTCCAGCCGTGGCGACGAGGGGAGCCCTTTCTCCCCCTTTCCTGGCTGGAACAGCGGGCTGAGCCACTTCAGCCCCCCACCCTGAGCGCAGGGCGTTGCAACTTTTCCACACTGCGCGTTCACGCTCGGTGTCGGGCCCCAGTGTCAGTGTAAATCGATCCGGCACGAGAAATGCCGCAAAGGATGGGGTCTAGGGATCCAGTCGTGATTTTTCACTCTATGTTGCATTTTGATTCGCAACGTCGGATCTCAGGGCAGCCAGCTCCAGGTCGCCGCCGCTCCCCCAGGCCGCTTCGACGGCAGAACTTCT